TTAAAGATGCAAGATAACTTTTTTAATTGCTTTTTTTTAGTAGTAAATGGACACAATACTTTTATTTATTTGTTTATTTTTATATGGTACTGGGGATCAAATCCAGTGTCTCACACATGCTAGGCAAGCTCTCTGCCACTGAGCCACAACCCTAGCCCTTGGGTTTATTTTGACAAAGTCATACATCTATGGAATTTCATTTCAGTCTCCATTCTCATTCTCTCTCTCCCTCTGCTTATTCACCTTCCTCTACTGATCTTCTTTCACTTATTTTTGATTGGTGCTTTTTACATAGACTTATAGGTAAAATTTCCTGTGGTATATTTATATATACACATGAATGATTTTGTTAAATTCATTTCACATTTCTTCCCCTATCTTATCTTTACTCCCTCCCTTTTGATTTCCTTATACTCCAGAACTTCCTTCTGTCTTTATGATAACCAATCCTGATGTGATAGCTTTTTAAGTATAGTCACTATAGTCACTTCTCTACCTGTTTTTCCTGAAGTGGAAATAGTTACTGCTTCCCTAAACAATACTTCTAAAGCTGCCACTAACCTAAGAAATGAAACTTAAAGGACAAAAAATTAATAGTGTGCCAATGTTAAATAATATGCAGTGAATTTGTGTTTATTTAGAATCCAAATCATCATAAACTCAAATAACTACTCTTTTTATTTGGATTGCATACAATTCTTATCATAAAAGTATAAATATAAAATAAAATATTAGGACTCATTTATAAAATGCAAGTTTCTGGAAATATTATTAATGAACTTTTTAACATCTTTCACATCTTGATGATAATACTCATTTAATCAACATATTTTTCTTGAGACATTTTTTTTACATTTACTTCTCAGTCTCCACAGTCCCCTAAGTTTTCTTCTTATCTCACTGTCTAATTTTTCTTTTTCTTTTTTTTTTTAGTTGTAGATGAATACAATATCTTCCTTCCTTCCTTCCTTCCTCCCTCCCTCCCTCCCTCCCTCCCTCTCATTTTCATGTGGTGTTGAGGATCGAACCCAGGGTCTCACACCTGCAAGGCAAGTGCTCTACCACTGAGCTACAGCCCCAGCCCCGTACTATTTACTTTTTTTATTCTCCTTTGCGTTTTTCCTCCTCATCTCCCCAACCTGTTAATATTGGAATGCCTCAGGACACATTTTCTTTTTCTTATCTCTCCCTTGGTGATCTCATCTGTGCTGGTGATTTCAGATATCATTTATGTTTGCCATTCTCAAATGTGTATTGCCAATCCAGACCTCTCCACAGAAATAATATACATTATATATTCATATACTTGCACATTTAAATTCTCACTTGATAGCTCTACTTGGTTTTCTTCCTACGTATACAGCTTTATTGAAGTATAATTAATATATAGTAAGTGCACATGTATAAATGTACAGTTTGATTAATTTTGGTATATGTATAAATTTGTGAAGCCACCAGCATCACTATCAAGATACTGAACTTATTAAAAATTTTGTGCTTCCTTCTTGCCCCTATTTAGTCACAAATGTGCTTTATGTCACTGTAGATTATATTATATTTTTGTAGAATTTTATATAAATGAAATCATACAGTGTGTTCTTGGTGGGGGGGTGTAGCTTCTTTCACTCAGTATTTTTTCTTTTTAACACATATCAATAGGTCATTCCTTTTTATTTTTTGTGTGGCTATATAATCTTTTTTTTTTTTTTTTTTTTTTTGTAGCAATGATTGAACCCAGGGGCACTTAACCACTGAGTCACATTCCCAGCTCTTTTTATTTTTTTTGTTTTGAGATAGGCTTTCACTCAGTTGCTTAGGTCCTCAATAAGTTACTGAGGCTGACTTTGAACTTGTAATCCTCTTTCCTCAGCCTCTTGAGTTGCTGGGCTCCTGGGCAGGTACCATCACATCCAGTCAAAGCATTTTCCAAACAAGTAATATTTTACATTTCCAACAGTAATGTGTGGGTTCAAATTCCTCCATATACTCTCCAACACTTGGTGTAATCAGGTTTTTTGTTTGTTTTTATTTTTTTTTTAGTTGTTCTAGTAGCCTATTATAATTTAATATGTATTCTCCTAATGAATAATGTTGTTAAACAACTTCTCCTGTGATTTCTTTTTTTTTTCCCATCCATACCTTCTTTATTCTTCAGTGAAGTGTTATATTTAAATCGTTTTCCTGTTTTTTTACTGGGTTGTCTTATACTGGAGTTGTAGTAGTTCTTTACATATTCTGCATGCAAATCCTTTGTGATATATATTTCACATTTTTTCAGTCTATGACACTTTCTAACATTGTTTTTTGAAGAGCAAAATGTTTAAATTTTAAATAGGTTCATCTTACGAGTTTTTTTCCTTTTATGATTTAGGCTTTTTGTGTCCTATTTACAAAATCTTTGCCAAATCTCAGCTAACTAAGATTTTCCCCTATGTTGTCCTTTGAAAATTTGTAGTTTTAACTCTTACAATTAAATCATGGTCCGTTTCTAGTTTTCCTCTTAAATCTTAAGTCTGTAATTCAAAATAAATGAGTCTATTTCTGAACTTTCTCTTTTCTTCTATTGATTTGTGTTATCTATTTTTTTTGCCTACACAGCACTATTTTAATTACTGTAGCTGTATAATAAATCCTGAAATTATGTAATGTAAACTTTGTTCTGTGGAATTGTTTTGACAAATTTTTTACATTTGCAAACCAATTGTAGAATCTGTGAATTTCAATGAAAAGGCCAATTGAAATTTTAATTGAGATTCTGTTGACTCTATACCAATTGGGGGAAAACTGATATTTTAACAATATTGTGCCTTGTGAGATAAGAACACAATATAGTTAGCTCTTCTTTAACTTCTTCAGTAGCATTTTAGAGTTTTTATGCAATATCAGTATAAGTTGTAAGCATTTATGCCAAATTTATTCGTTTTGGTGCTGGCTGGTCCAGTTTTTAAATTTCAATTTCTAGTTGTTCATTGCTGTTGTATAGAAATATAATTGATTTTGCATAGTGACCTTTTATTCCTTTACTCTGCTAAGCTTACTTATTAATTCTAATTTCTTTTTTTTGGTAGATTTTATAAGATTCTCTGCATAGACAAGCATGTCATCTACATATAAGACAGTTTCACTTCTTTTTCTATTCTGTATGCCTTTTATTTCTTTTTCCTGCCTTATGACACTGGCTAGGATTTTCAGGGCAGTCTTGACTAGAATTTCGAAGAAAGCACATTGTTGCCTATTTTCCTTTGCTTAAGGGGAAAACATACCATCTTTCACCATTAAGTGTGGTGTTAGATATGTTTTTTGTAGAAGCCCTTTGTCACCCAAATCTTGTGACTTTAAATATCATTTATCCATTGGTTGCCATTCTAATGTGTGTGTCCAATGCAGATCTCTCCACTGACATTTATTTTTACATTTATCCAACTACTTACTTGATATATCCATTTGGATTTTTGTGAGCTATCTCAAACTTAGCATGTTGAAAACTAACTTTGGGATTCTTTCTGTGCTCCTAACCTGCTTCTCTCACAGTGTTTTTCAGCTCAGAAGATGGCAACTACATTTTTTAGGCCAAAACCTTTGGAATCACCTTTCCTCCCTCTTCTCCCATCTATCCTTCTATGCAGTATGTCAGCAAATCCTGTTCCCTCTATTTTTATAACAATTATGACTCCTAATAAACTACTTTCACCTCTTCCCAAGCTTCTTGCCTCCTGATCTGTTACCCTGTTCCCTTGCCTCCCTAACAGTCAATGCTCAGAAAAACTAAAGTATTTTCTGCTTAAGAGCAGTTTTAAGGCTTAGAAACAGTGAATTATTTTATTGATACAAGGGATGATTAAGAGAAACATTTTTAGAGTTTCTGAAGAATTAACCTACTATATATGGTACTTAATCAAACTTGAAAAAACTTTTTTCTCCTTTTTGGTCTCTTTTTACTCTATAAATAATTAGATGGGATTATCGCTATCACTGTTGATTGTTTTGTTTTTTCTGTCATCTGCTGGTATTTTTTTCCGTTTCTATACTATTTTAATTTTAAAATGTCACATCCCAAAAAAATTCTGAGGAATAGTAAAATAGTAAACAGGTTTGATTTTTACTGCCAGCTCTACTGGCTTATAGTCACTGCCTGGAGCAATATGTGTAAAAGGATTCCGATGTTTAATAGAGACTCTGATCAATCAGCTGTGTCTGATATGAGTGGGGGAATGGGGAGTAGTATATTTACCATCTCTAAATGGACTTTATAATGTAGGTAGATCTTCAGTGACTATTTGTTTTTGATAGTTGTTGCTTCCAGTTTTAGTGATCCTTCGCTTTTTTTTTTTATTAAAGAACATTTAAATAATAAAGACTTTTAAACTTTTAAACAATAAGGACAGATAGAAAATCTTTTAAAGAATAAATGAGAAATGAAATGTTAAATTCTGACTTTATTGCCAAATTAGTTTTATATGTGGAAAAGGAACTAAAGAATCTGCAGATGATTGGTTTAATTTTATAATCAAATTATTCAAAATAGTAACAGTCATCAAGGACTATATATCAATAATATTTTGAGGGTTTTTTGAGATATAATTTATACGTAATAAAAATTAGTTTTTGAAGTTTATCTTGTGAGTTTGGACAAAAGAATTCAGTAGTGCAACCACTACCACATTCAAGATAGAATATTTTTATCACCCCCAAAACAGTTCCCTTTCCCTAATAGAAGTTTAACTTACTATCTTGAGAAAATGTAAATATTTAAATATCTTCAGATAATCATATTTAAACATTTAAAGAATAAAATGTATTTAAATAATTTAAATGGCATTGAAAGTTATTTTGAGAATAAAGCTTTTCATCGTAATTGTGATATTGCTACCAGCCATACTGTTTCAGTATGGAATTGTTAAATACCAGGAATAATATTGTTTCTGCTTAACTCTTTAATGAAAGGATACTTCAAATTAACACAGTGTCATGTTGAAGTACTTTATTTTTTAATATTACAGAAGAAAATTCCACAAGACAAAGTGAGGATTTGGGAAGCCAGTTTACAGAAATTTTCATTAAGCAGCAAGAAAATGTCACTCTCCTGTTATCTTTATTGGAGGTAAATAGGGAACCTTGATATTTTTGTCATCTTTCTTTTAAAATATTTATTTTTTAGTTTTAGTTGGACACAATATCTTTATTTTATTTTTATGTGGTGTTGAGGATCGAACCCAGCGCACTGCACATGCCAGGCGAGTGTGCTACCACTTGAGCCACATCCCCAGCCCTATTTTTGTCATCTTAATAAGCTTTTTTTTATTTTGTGTTGGGTATTATTGAGGAAGCAACATGTGTATACCTTTAAAAATTTATTGTGTCATACTTATGCATGCATGCATGCATGCAAGAAGTCCATATGCATGTTTCAAGAAATATATAAGCTATTAAAATACTGTTTGCATCCTATTTATTTTTACCAAATACTGTTTTATTTCATCACTAACATTTTAGTTAGTTTATTCAATTTAGATTGACTTTTTTATTGCTTTTTATTTCTCACTTTTATTTACTTATTTATTTATTTATTTGTACTGGGAATTGAACGCAGAGCCCTGCACATGCAAGACAAGCGTTCTACCACTGAGCTTCATCATCCACTATTTCTTTATAAGAGTTTTCTACAGTTTCATTTTTAACTTTAGTTTCTGGTACCACTAGTAGTCAGAAAGAAAATGTTTTTCTTGAAAATGTGAATTATAGATGTTAAATATTTTAAATGTTTATATTACAGGAATTTGATTTCCATGTCCGTTGGCCTGGTGTGAAGCTTCTGACTTCTCTTTTAAAACAACTAGGACCCCAGGTGCAGCAGATTATTTTAGTCAGTCCAATGGGTAAGTGATTTATCATCCCAATATAATTTTGTTTAAAATGTGAGGATCATTTCCTAGAGAAGGTGAATGAAATGGTGTTCTAACAAATTGTAAATTGAATCACTATTCATAGTTTTAGTCTGCCAATATCGTTCTCATGGTTCTCTATTCTAGGTGTTTCCAGACTGATGGACTTATTGGCAGATTCCAGGGAAGTTATTCGTAATGATGTAAGTTATTTGAAAAAAAATCCGAGAATATACAGGATTTTTTTCTCTCTTGCAAATAAAATCTTTTTTTTTACCCTTATGGTTTATAAGAATTTGGAAGATTGGGGTAGTGATCAATCTTTTAGACCTTTATGTACACATTATTTGTGTTTCCTTACTATCCAATATTTTGGAATAGAAAAACCATTTGGTATTCAAATTTATTCCCTCTGCAAGTTTGGGATTTCTTCCACTCTCTTCTGAAAGGTTGTATTTCACACAGAACTCTACCCCCAGAATTTCTTTTTTCTCCTAAAAAATACAGGAAATATTTCTAGATGTTAACTGTGTAAGCTTAGCAAAGCATTTCATTTGCTGTCCTCAACTTCCCTTAATTTTAAAGGATTTTCCCTGGTAATATCTGTTTAACTGTATAGCATGAATTGCTCTGGTTTATTTTAATGTTTACATGTAAGTCTGAATATTTGATTATTATTTATGTACTCACTTACATTTGCTATGCTGGGGATCAAACCCAGTTGTTCACATTAGGCAAGTGCCCTACCACTAAGCTAAACCTTTAGCCCTAAATTTGACTATGTTTTATTGATGCTGTATTGCTTGAACTTTTTTCTATGTTGTTACCTACAGTTTGATGAAAACTCTGAAATAAGCTGGGCATAGTGGTACACACCTATAATCTCAGCTGCTCAGGAGGCTGAGGTGGGAGAATCACAAGTTTGGGTACCACCTAGGCATTTTATTGAGCCTTGTCTCAAAATAAAAAGGGCTAAGAGTGTAGCTCAGTGGTAGAGGTATTGCCTAGCATGCAGGTGGTTCTGGGTTTGCTCCCCAGCACCATGCACATACACAAACACAAAACTATAATACTTCAGATAGCAATTGAAAAAAGCTTTTTAAATTCAGTCTCCATATTTGCAGTCAGAAGCCCAAGAGCCTTAACAACTAAGGGACTTATTATTTGTTAGCCATATCTCATTCATTTTTATATTTGTTTTTCCTGACCCTGTTCTTCCTAAATTCTAGTGACTATCATTTGGATTGCTCTTAACTTCATAATGTCTGGTTAGAGACAAAGTAGAAACAAAACTCTTGACTTCTAGCTCATATATTCAATTTTTTTAAACTTACTTAGAATTTTGTATATGTATGTTGGTGCAATATTATAATTGTAATTATTTATAAAAAAGATTTTTTTATTCTTTAATATTTGAGAGTTATTTGTCAAGAATTCTCTTATTTAAATGAGCACACATCCATTAGGAATTTGAGGTGCCTTTCCTTGAATATCATGTATTTTCCTTTGCAGACATAAAATTGCCTTTTTGTGGTGTGGGGGACTGAATTCAGGGGCTCACACATGATGTACAAGCCCTCTATTGGTGGCCTACATTCCTAGCCCTGATATATACCTATATATCTTTATCTGTATCTATATATTTGTCGAGAGAGCTGCATTATCTATTATTTTCCTTTAACTCTCCATCTATTTTTCTAACGTTTGTCCTCAATTTTTATTTGAGATAGATAAAATGATTTTCTCTACATATTGTTTTTTATTAATTTTATGATTAGGGATTAAGTTTTATTTAATTAATTTATTTATTTATTAAAGAGAGAGAGAATTTCAACATTTTATTTTTTAGTTATCGGCAGACACTACATCCCTGTCTGTATGTGGTGCTGAGGATCGAACCCGGGCCGCACGCATACCAGGCGAGCGCGCTACCGCTTGAGCCACATCCCCAGCCCCAAGTTTTATTTTTGTTACAATGTCTGGATTCTTGGTTTTTATGTGTTTTACAGCTTTATTTTCTTTAGTCTCAATAAAACTTATTCAAGGGAAAAAGAAACTAACATGTTTTGAAAATTTAAAATATAGTAGGTTCTATAGAAACTATTTTACCTCCTCAGTCTTTATTTTAAAATCCTGTAATAGTCTATTGTCCTGTTTTATACGGAAACTCTGAATTTATGTAATTTGCTTTAATTTGCACAATCAGTTTCTAAACCCACTTTATCAATCTCAGAACCTCAATGGTTTTTTTCTACTGTATTTCTTCTTCTCTTTGTCAGCAGTTAAACTCAAGTTGTCAGCATCAAACTCAAGAATTTGATGTGTAAAAATAACCACTTTTTCCTTTCTCTCTCATCTTTGTGTTGAAACTTGACAGTTAGTAAAATGATGGAATAAGCCCAATAAGGCCATGGGCATTTTTCTCCAACTGACAGCCAACAGCTTATATGCTTCTGTGGGACTTTTGAAGTATCTTTGCTATTCTTTTGAAGTAGCATCTGAAATTTTTTTCATTAAATATTTGCTATCCCCTTGACTATCATGGATACTTACTGGCTCATAAGTACTTCTTATTTGATTCTGAAATAAGCACAAGTGGGTAATAAGTAGGGAAGTCGAGTTTTTGTAGAATAATAAAGTAGTGGCAAACTATATAAACTAATAACAGAAGCTAAGAAAAATTAAAAGGCAAAGGCAAAGACTATCATGAACTGTCTTGTGCTGGACATGACATTCATGATACATGAGTTTTATCATTCTTTTTTCTGTTGACTTAGAATCAAGTTTTAGGAATTTCGAGGCCAGATATTTAAAAGAATTTGTGCACTTTCTCTACTAGAATGTGGTGGTCTTTCTAGCATGTATATAAGCTTGTATAGCAGCATTCTTGAGAAGATAATTATGTCCAACTCACTTAAGCCACAATGAAAACTATAGTGATTGATAAATATGGGGGGGTTGTGCACTCACACACAGGCGCGTGTATATGTATGTGTGTGTATATATATATATATATATATGTATACATACATACATACATATTTAGTTCATATATATATATGAACTAAATTAGGGATTGTTAGACCTGGTAAGTCCCTTTGAGATTTGTAACCTTAGAAAAATTACAATACTTCTTTGCCTTTATTTTCCCTATATGTAAAGTGAAGGAGTAGAACTTGTGAAATTCCTGCCATTGATTTTAAAATGTCTAGTAAATATTGTAGTTCACTGAACATTATCCTTTTTTCTCCATAAGGGTGTCTTACTACTACAGGCATTAACAAGAAGCAATGGAGCAATTCAGAAAATTGTTGCTTTTGAAAATGCTTTCGAGAGGCTACTGGACATTATTACAGAGGAGGGGAACAGTGATGGAGGTATAGTATGAAGAGATTATTTGAAGAGATTTCTTTAGTACTCACTAAATTCTTAATTTCTAGGGAATACAGTTTGAGAAATGGGAGCTCATTCTTGATCCTTTTTTATTCTGACATATTGAATGAATATAGATTTCTTTTTCTTTATCCTGTTAGGCTTCTATGATCTATCTTGGTATCTTTCATGATTTCTGGGAAGTCTTAGCTACATCTCTTCAGATAATGCTGGACCACATTTTCCCTGTCTTTCTGAAAGTATAGGTGAAGGTGCAGGTCCTTTTACAGATTTGTTGACAGGAGGTTGAGTTCAAGGCAGACTCTTGATGAGAGCAATGGAGAACATGGTTGAGATTTAATTGAGAAGGTTAGAAATCATTTTTTGAAGGATAGGAGAGCTAGTTGACTACAGTAATTAGGAAGACTCACAGTAGTGGATACAGCCCCATCAAGGTTGTTCACCAGGATTTTAGGGTGGTGTACATGCTTGATTATATGACTCTTCTTCCCGGCAGTATTCAGCTGCCTAGATGCAGATGTAGAAAAAAGTCAAGGGGTTAGTTCTTTTCCAGGAAGGTTTTATGAAGACAGTGAAACAGAATTTAGCATATTACCTATGAAGTGGAAGAAATGAGGATCTATATAATCTAAGCTGGATAAGGAAGAAAGTAAAGACAGAATGGGGTTTCCAAAAAGAAAGGAAGATGTCTGGTTGATAAGTTGAAAGTTTTAGGGGAGCCCTAAAATAGATAAACTGAGAATACTCGAACCAGAAAGATAGGAGGTTTTAGTAAGAGAGTAAGAAATGTCATTGAAGGTGAAGCCACAAAACAAGAGGCAACATTAGTTGGTTATTTTTTACTATAAAGCTATCAAGAATGACAGTACAACTAAGAAAAAGAAAACGTTGAGCAACATGCCAGTGGTATTTTCAATGAACAAAGAGTAGTGACCAGAAATTTGTTAATAACTACAGTGAGGGGTGGTAAGCCAACAATAATAGCAAAAAAGGAAAGATGGTATAGTCAGGTATTCTGAACCTTAAATGAACAGGATTTTTTTTGTAAGAGGGTAGAGGAACTATGATCTCTAAAAAGTATACTGGATTGGGAGGATCAGAGATTTGGCATCCCAACTCTTAGCTGCATACAATTGAGCATGAACTGCCTTTTACTTAAGAGTATTACAGGATAAAGCAGATTTGTAAAAGAAAATTACTACAAGAAGTAATTGAGGGTACAGCTGTATTTGATATTATTGAGACCATGAAAGTTTTTGAAAGAAAATTAAATGTGGTAAAGGGAATGCAATGTTAAAAAATGGTAGAGTATAGATGACCCAACAAATATGTTTTTGGAAATTATTGAAGAAAATGGTATTTTAAGGCAAAGTAGAATTAGCTAGTTGTCATGGTTACCAAGACAAGTTCCAGAGGCTCTTGTAACTGACAGTGGCCATCAAGGCTCTAGTATTTACTACATATACACCTGAAGAAAGGACTGCCCTTTGTAGTGAGGGTTTTGACATACTTTTTTCCTCCAGAGCCATTTAGATTGTCCTAAATGCAGACTTTATTTAATGGAGATGTGTGGTCCTATATAAGAGGTAGATAGAGTGATTCCTCCTTATAAGGTGAGGATCCAGTAATATGAAATAAGGTAGCCACTACTCTGGACAGATCAGGAGTGGTTAAATCGGAGATTCTTAAGAAGTACTTAAAATATATACCTTAAACACTTTATGTTAAATGTAATAAGATAAAAAAATATAAAATATATATAAATGTATGTTATATATAAAAAATATATATTTATGTATTAATCTTAGGACTAGGACTTTTTTCTGAATATGAGTCTGCTAATTAGTTTTCATCGTTTACATCACACCTATATTTTATCATGTAGGATTTGTATTTGGTTTTTTTTAAAAGTGGAATACAGAATTTTTCCATTTTTACAGTTTTTTTCCTTGTCTTTCAGAATCATTATCTATACTTAACCAAGGAGATGTTTTTAATGACTTCCTTTCATTGAGCTTTGCCAAATACTTAAATTTAGTTTTCATAAAAATACCTGTTTTCACATTTATATTTTGGCAGTTTACATAATATTTAATTAATAACCAGTGTAAATATCATTGTAAATTCATGAACAAAAACAATTAACTCTTAGGTAAAATGCCAAAAGCATGATCCTTGAATGAAAAAAATTGACTAATGGGATTTTATTAAAATTGAAAACTTGTGCTCTGCAAAAGACACTGTTGACAGAATAGAAAGAAAGGCCATGAACTGGGATGCATATCCAAAATATACCAAGAATTTAAAAAACTTAACAATAAGAAAACAAGACAGTGTAAAAATGGGTAAAAGATTTGAATGACTTCACACAAAAGAAGATAGCAAGTAAGCATGTGAATAGATGCTCAACATCATACGCATGAGGGAACTACAAATTAAAACCATAAGATCACTACACACCTGTGAAAATCCAAGACACTGACAACATCAAATGCTGGTGAGGATGTGGACAAATAGAAACTCATTGCTAGTTGGAATGCGAAATGGTACAACCACTTTGAAAGATTATCAGTTTCTTAAAAAGCTAAACATAGCCAGGAGCAGTGGCACATACCTATAGTCCCACCTACTTGAGAGAATGAGACAGGAGGATGGCAAATTCCAGACCAGCCTGGGCAACTTAGTGAGACACTGTCACAAAATAAAATATTAAAAGACTGAAGTAGGAGAATTGAACATTCAAGGCCAGCCTCAATGATTTAGCAAGCCCAACTCAAAATAAATAAATAAGAAAGTCTAGGAATGTAACTCTGTGGTAAAGTAACCCTGGATTTAATCCCCATTACAAATATATAAATACACATGTATTTTACACTATATAATATATAAATGTTTATTATTTATATATGTGTAAATATACTTGCATAATTAACATTTTGGTGTTCTGTAGTTATGTACCACACTAATACAAAATGTTAATAATAGGAGAAATTAGGGACTGTGGTTGTGGCTCAAGTGGTAGCGCACTCACCTGGCATGCATGTGGCCTGGGTTTGATCCTCAGCACCACATACAAACAAAGATGTTGTGTCCGCCGAAAACTAAAAAATAAATATTAAAATTCTCTCTCTCTCTCTTTAAAAAATAATAATAAAAATAGAAATTAGAAAGCGGAGAGCATATGGAAACTTTATTATCACTCAGTTTTTCTGTAAAACATTTTAAAAGTATGTTTTAAGAAGTAATTGATGTTGTAAACTAGTAGGAGCAAAAGTGTGGGTATAAATAGAGGAACCTACCAGTTGTGAGCATCTGGCATCAGTCAGTATGCTTTACGGAGAAAATGGGAATCATTGGTTAATCTGGCATTTGGTAAAGTTGGGATCAGTTGGAAAGTTTTCACTGTGATGATAGGTTAAACTGTAGTGTAGATGAAACTGTCCTGAGAGAGAGAGTAGTATGTTGTAAAGCAGAGAAGTGGGAAAAGGATCAAACAATGAAGGATGGAAACCATGAAAAACAGAAAGTCGGGGGCTGGGGATGTGGCTCAAGCGGTAGCGCGCTTGCCTGGCAGGCGTGTGGCCCGGGTTGGATCCTTAGCACCACATACAAAACAAAGATGTTGTGTCCGCTGAAAACTAAAATATAAATATTAAAAAATTCTCTCTCTCTCTCTAAAAAAAAAAAAAAACAGAAAGTCTGAGGAATAACCAGAAAGCTATTGGGAAATCAGGTGAAAGTAGTGTTTTAGAAACCAAGAGAAAAGGAGGTTTTAAAGAAGAGACACAGAGACAATAATGTTAAATGCTTCTTAGAGATTAAATAAGGTATGATTGATTCATTTAATAAATATTTAATACCTGATGTCTTATCTCTACCAACAATAAAGAAGTAAGTAGGGCATTCACAAATTTCTGTGTTTGTGAATTATAATCTAGTGGAGAAGACAGACATGTAATAATGAGAACAAGCTACTGTAAGAGGATGTAACTGGTGATGCTAACCTGATCCTTGAGTCTTGGTGTTTAACCCTAGATTTGAATAAGAAGTATGAGTTAATGTGGTAAGTGGATGGTTGGACATAGAAATGAAAACACTATTATGAGATTTGAGAAAGAGCACATGGATTGTGGCCTGTGGCCATCAAGAGAGAGGGTGTGTGCCTTCCCATACTGAGGAGATTCTAAGCATGGAGATTTACCTTTTTGAAAATGTTTGGAGATTGAACTTTCCTTCAGATGTTATCAGCCTTAACACTTCCATTTCACATTTTCTCCCCAGGTATAGTAGTTGAAGATTGTTTGATTCTGCTCCAAAACTTGTTAAAAAACAACAATTCCAATCAAAATTTTTTTAAAGAAGGCTCATATATTCAGCGCATGAAACCTTGGTTTGAAGTTGGAGATGAAAATTCTGGCTGGTCTGCACAGAAAGTGACCAATCTACATCTAATGCTACAGGTATATTGTCCTTAGACATAAATGTGATATTAAGTTTTGTAAGAGATTATTTCAAAGAAAAGGAGATTACTTGCATTTGGTAGATCCAAGGTATTCAGTTGGTTTCAGGTGGGCTTTAAAACTTTTTAATATGGAAAATTTGCAGTTATATTCAGAGCCAGAAATCCCTTCCCCCAATCCAACCATTATTCAACTTTGATAATTAATTAACATCCCACATTTTTTTTTTTTTTGTTCCTCTTTTGTTCTTCTCTTGCCCTGCTGCATTATTTTAAAGCAAATACAGACACAGTTTCCTGATAGGTTTTACATTAGGAAATAATAGGTTCAATTTTGTTTTTCTGAATTTTTAAAATATGCTTTCTTTAATTAGGGCTCTAATATAATAAATTTTAATATTCAGAATATTAACTTCCTGTACATTAATTCAATAAATATCCAGAGCCAAGCACTGGATGCTAAGATGTGAATAATTATATCCGCCTAAAGATTGATTATAAGTTAATTTTAAGATTAATAAAAATTAAATTGACAAATCACCTGTCATTTTATTTAAGCTTCATGGTAAATGCTTAGGATGAATGTAAAAGTGAGGACAATAGGATCCCAAATGATTTCTATAGTGAAGAAAGTTTTCAAGTTCTTAGATTTATTTACTTACTCCTTTTTTGAATCCCCTTCTCCAAATCCTTAAATTTGTGCCAGCCTCCTAATTTATGTTCTCCTCTAGTGATTCTTATGGGTCTTTGAATGTCTCTGAATTATGTCAGTATCTTGGAAGTTATACACCTCAAAATTAGATTGTACACTTCCTTGTAGTGAGAGTTTGAATATCATTCCATGTCCTCAGAGTTGCCTGCGTATCACTGATTGATAATCAGGGTGACTATATACCCCCGTTTACCAGGACAGGATTCTTTTTTGTAATTACTAATAATGCCCTCTTTCACTTCAAAAGTGTCCTAGTTTTGATTATAAATTATCTCATTACCCCATTTAGAATATGTCTAAAAACTGTTACAAAAGTGTTGTAACAGAAAACATGGTCAAAATGTCAATTACATTTATACTCCTGACTTCATCATTTCTGTCTTCACATGTCAGTATTACATGTGTCAAGAATTTATTATTTTTATGTTTTATAAAGAGGGTCACTTTATAGTCTTTGTTAAATACTGCTTTCTTAAGAAGAATATTCAAAGAAATTTTCATAATGTAAGCCAGGCACACATCTGAAATCTCAGCTACAAAGGAGGTGAAGGCAGAAGGATCACAAATTCAAGGGCAGCCTCAGCAACTCAGCAGGAGCTTGTCCTAAGGTGGTGGTGGAGGGGGTGGAATTAAAAAGGTCAGGGTAAGTAGCTTAATGGTAGAATGCCACTAGGTTTAATCCCCAGTACTACAAAAATGAGATCAGAGTGAGTGAAGGGATCTGATGATATGTATGCAAAAACATTTCCTGACCAACAGTAAGAATTTAATTTCTCACTGTGGGAGGGGCCTGCTCCTGTTTTATGATTTTAGTGCTATGTAAAGAATTATTTTGAAGAAAGTTTAATAAAGTACTGTTTTACCAAAAGTTTTTGAATGAAGAGTGCATCATTAAATAGAAAAAATACAGTATTCTAGTTATATAATGAGTTGGTTGTTTTTCTAGGGGTTTGTTTGTTTGATTGTTTTCAAAAAAGTGAATAAGCTAGGTCAGGTGCAGTGGTGTGCGTCTTTAGTGCCAGTACTTGGGAGGCTAACATGAAGGATCACTTGAGCCCAGGGGTATAAGACCTGTCTGGGCAATGTAGTCTCAAAAAAAAAAAAAAAAGTGTGAATAAGCTAACTGTGCCTACCCTACTACAACTTTCCTCTCTATCAGTGCAGACTATAAACTTCTGAGCAGAGGAACTGAGATTACTTTATTTTAATAAGTTCTTCACCTCAAAGATTGAGTAGTTGATTCATTCATGACTTCACAGGCCACAGGTTATTTTGTTAGAGTATTCTTTCTAAGTAGCTTTATTTGGAGTTGCTTATGTTTCAAGCTGTTGTACACAAAATGAAAATGCATAATTGTTCTCCTGTTTGGATATATACATCCTAATTGAAATTATTCAACATCAAAGTTATAATCATGATGATTTAATTCTAAGCCATTGAAAAACAAAATTGAGCTACTTTGGAACTTTATTTTCTTTTTTAAGAGACTAAGTCTCACTTTGTTTTCTAGGCTAGCTTTGAACTCTTGGAATGCAGGTATACTTGGGGGCTTTTATTCAGATAAAAATTTGGGAAAGCACCTTTTGAAAAAAAATTAGTTATTAATCCATATGTTAAATTAAAATCTGTCTTGACCAAACTTCTACAGTTTTTCCCTAGTCTTATTTTCAGAAATAAAGGGAATCTGTTCCTTGTGACAATAATTTACATATTTGAATGTTATTAGGTCTTCCTTTATCTTATTATCATCAAGTATTCCTTTTTTCAGCCATCGTCCTCTGCCATCTTGGAAGTTGATAATTACTTTTCTTTATTTGTATCATCAATAAAGATACTCAGCTGCTATTAGATACTAAATAGCAGCTTTAGATACTAAAGAATTATTGTTAATTTTCTTAGGTGCAATAATGGCATGATTATGTTTTTGAAGAATTGTATTTTAAAAAATCTTTATCGATTGGAAATGCACTCAGAAATATTTAGGCAGGAAATAACATTGCCTGGTACTTGCTTTACTCAGAAAGAAGTAGTAATAGTAATAGTAATAATAAGGGTGGGAGAGAAATAAATAAAGGGGGAAAAACCCAGAAGCCTGATTAGAAAAGTCCAAGGACAGGAACCACCACCACCTACAGTGTTTTATTGGTGGTGGTGGTGATGGTGGTTTTTTGTTTTTTGTTTTTTTAATCTATTAAACATCAATTTACTAATCAACCCTCTTTGAGAATGGTAATCCACATGTGGAAATTTCTAGATAATCAATTTGTTCATTACTGATTTAACGAGTAGTTGAAGTTTTTCCCAAGTTCTAGTGCTATCTGGTTACTTTTTTTAAAAATATTTTTTAGTTATTAATGGACCTTTATTGTATTTATTATATGCGGTGCTGAGAATCGAACCCAGTGCTTCACACTTGCTATTGTTAGTAGTAAATACCACTCTAAGGATAAATCCTATCATGAAATTGCACTTAACATTTTAATCTCTTGTTCTAGTATAGATTAGATACATTCCCATTAGAGTTTTTTTAAATCAAAATTGAGTATTATATTTTACCAAAGCTTTTATGGTTAAAAAATTTTTATTACCATAAATTATTTTCTATAAATGAAAGTAAGACCCTAGCTCTTCTGGTTACCTTTTATTCTCTAGCTTTTCAAACCCACTTTTTATTTTTTTATGTGTACCCCTTCCCCCTACAAAAAATGTCACCTTTCTTAGTGAAGTCACAATCTATATGATATTCACCATCTGTAGCAATACAATTGTTTTAGTTTACCCTTTTATGTCATTGATTAAGTTCATAACTTCAGTGTGCAGAAGAATAATATGTAACATTTGCTTTTCATTTCATTGTTAACAAAATATTATAAATTTCCTATTTGGTCTCGTTATACCAGATTTTGTGCACACTTATATATGTAACTGTAGTTTTATAATGTAGGATATATGTAAAATTATTTTGAAGATGTACCAATGCCAGAACAGTCATTTGGAGTGACTTTTATCATGTTTCTGAAATTTCATGTTCAGGTTTAGAATAATCATAGACTCATAGGAATTTAATTAGCATTAACAATTAACAAGGCCAACCCCTTGCCTTGTGCACAAATCTTCTGCCATATCTCTAATTGTTAGTTTTAGCCTTTCTTTATATTTTCAGTTTAAGGGGTATCTGTTAAACCTCAGGCCATTGTGTTTTCAGTCCTTCTCTATTATTAGGTAATTTACCTGTACTTTGATAAGGGGTCTGCAATCCTCTAACTTAATCATTTATTCATTACTGAATATGTATTATTACAAATATTGTGCTTATTTGGAATACAAGAATGACCAAGTCAGTTGCTATTCTCTGGGAGTTCACAGTCACCTGAAGGAGACAACCTTAAGCAAATAGCATAATATAATATGTACTGTTAACAGCACTGTTGCCATGGGAACATGAAGGAAAGAGCACCTAGATCTGGCTGAGCAGGTGAGGGGATGCTTCATACAGATTCTCTTGTTCACATAGATCAGATTTGCGTCAAGTCTTTATAAATCTTTAAAAGACCAATTTTGTTTTCTCTTTCTTTTATAGCTTGTGCGGGTACTAGTATCTCCCACCAACCCTCCTGGTGCTACCAGTAGCTGTCAGAAAGCTATGTTCCAGTGTGGGTTACTGCAACAGCTTTGCACTATCTTAATGGCTACTGGAGTCCCTGCTGATATCCTGACTGAGGTAATTGAAACTAAGGCAGAAGCCACTCTGTGGAAGTTGAAATCATGAATCTTAGGAAGAATCAGATATTAGCTGAAGGAAAAATAGTTATTACTACTTTTTAGGTTTACCTGTCTTTATGTTGGATTCCTTACTATCTTAGTAAATAATAATGATGATGGTATCAGTTCCAAAAGGTATACTCATTCCACAAGTTTTATAGCATGATTTATAAAGCTTAAAACTTTTTAACAGATCCATCCAGAATTGTTCTTAATTTTGTTGTACATACTCTGTACCTGTACCTGAGAACAAAGTGACTTAATTTTACTCAATGAGTTGATTCGTAGAATAGCAAATTCTTTTTCCTAGACATAAATTCCTAGATTTCCCTGTACCTCTTCTTCACTTGAATTTCTTAGTCATCTATTTTCTCTTACCCATTAGTTAATTGTCTTATTTTCCTGTTAAAAAAAAAGTAAATGACAAAAAAATTTCTTTTAGCTCTTTCGTATCTGAAAATCATATTCTTCTACCTTCAGAGTTAATTCAATGTTTGATTAAGTATGGAATTCAGAGTTAGAAATGATATTCAACTTCCAGAACATTGTTCTCATGTAACTTGTTAAGAAATCTGTAACTGTGGGGCAAGGTGGCACACGCCTGTAATAACAGCAACTCGGGAGGCTGAGGCTGACGCTGAGACAGGAGGATTGCAAGTTCAAAGCCAGCCTCAGCAACATTGAAGTACTAAGCAACTCAATGAGACCCTTTCTCTAAATAAAATACAAAAAAGGGCTGGAGATGTGGCTCGGTGATTGAGTGCCCCTGAGTTCATCCCTAGTACTCCCCTTCCTCCCAAAAAAGAAATCTCTAACTGTTCTGAGTTCTAAACCTTTTAATAACCTTTTTTTCTGTAGAAATTTTTGAGATATTTTCTTTATTTCTGATTTTTCTGAAATTTAGTGATGATGTGCTGTATTAAGGACCTTCTTCTACTCCCTAATTATTTTTACCACTCATTGGGCTATTTTCAACTGAAGACACATGTCCTTTAGTTCTGAGGAAAATTTTGGAATTCCTTGATAATTTCCTCTTTTTTCTGTTTATCTTCTACAACAGATTAGACTTTCTGGACCTATTTGTCTTTTTTAAAAAATTACTTTTATTCGATAAAAGTAGTATATGTCATATATAACATGTTATTTTGAAAAAGAGTTTTGTCCTTTTATTCCATTTTCTCGGAGGTTTTTTTCCAACTTCATCCTTAAATTGAGTTTTTAATTGGTTATATTTTGTTTTTTTAGTTTTTCCTCTGTTGCAATACTGGAAACTGAACTCAGGGCCTCACACATGCTGTGCAAGTGCTCTAACACTGCTCTTCATCCCCAGCCCTTTTTAATTTTTATTTTGAGACAAGGTCCAAGTTGCGCAGGCTGGCCTCATACTTTTTAAATGTGTTCTCTGATTTTATTTTAGAGCATTTTCTCTAGTTTTATAGAAATAGATCTCTTGTCTCTTAGAATATTATTAACTTAGGGGCTTTTTTTGCAATTTTAAATGTTGTTGTTTTTTTATGAGAACCCTACACTTACTGTTTTAAAATTTTATGTTGAGAAAATATTACAAGATTATAATGTTATAACTGATATCTGGGGTGTCTGATTTTTGGAGTTTAAAAACAAAAAGCAGCATGTAATATTTTCTTTTTTTGAAAACAGATTTTCTTCCTTGATTTATTTTTTTATATAGTATTTTTTTCTCTTCTTCACAGACCATAAATACTGTATCAGAAGTTATTCGAGGCTGCCAAGTAAACCAAGACTACTTTGCTTCTGTAAACGCACCTTCAAACCCACCAAGGTAGAAAATGGGAAATGACTGAGATTCCTTTGAGGAAATAAAAGCTTACTATATCTCATGTATACATATTACTCCATTGTAAAAAATTGAATTCGATGTTTTAAAACTAGAAATTATCTGACAAGTAAATATACTGGTATTGGGCATAGTGGAACATACCTATAACACAGTTGCTCAGGAAGCTGAGGCAGAAAAATCATAATTTTGATTCAGTTTCTGCAACTTAGCAAGACCTGTTCTCAATATAAAAAAAGATAGGGGATATAGCTCAGTAGTAGAACACACCCAGATTCAGTCCCTAATACTGCCAAGAAAAAAGGTAAATATATTGGTATTTTAAGAGTGAGAGGTCTTTTTCTATAGTCCCAGCTACTTGGGAAACTTCTAAGGCAAGAGAATCACAAGTTCAAGACCAGCCTCAGCAACATAGCAGAACCCTGTCTCAAACTAAAAAAATTTAAAAGGGCTGGGCATGAAGCTCAGTGGTAAAGCACCCCTGGGTTTAATCTATAGTACAAAAAAAATGAGTGTGTGGTCTTTGGAACTTAAATATTTAGGCTCATGTATAATCACCCTTGCACTTACAGGTATATGCCGTAAGCAAACAAATTATTATTCTCCACTGCAATTTCCTTTTCTGCAAAATGGAGATGGAAATACTTAACTTGCTGGTGTTCTAGTTATAGTTTTTCAATCAAGAAAAATGACTGGTTTTTCATTTGTGTGCTTGGGTCATAATGCTTCATTTTCTTTTTTTCTTTTTAAATGCAACAGACCAGCAATTGTAGTACTTCTCATGTCTATGGTTAATGAAAGGCAGCCATTTGTGTTGCGCTGTGCTGTTCTCTATTGTTTCCAGTGTTTCTTATATAAAAACCAAAAAGGACAAGGAGAAATTGTGTCAACGCTTCTACCTTCCACTATTGATGGTAAATAATTTAGTTATAATTTCTATTTTTAAAAGCAAATAATTGTCTTTCAAGCTTTTATAATTGAATTTTCATTTGTGCTTGAGCCTAAAATACTTATTTTTATATATGCTTAAAAAATAAATTGAATTCTTAAGCCTAAATTAGTTAAATGTAGAGAACAGTGTTTATGAAGTCAGACTAGAGTTTACATTATAGAGTTTTCTCTTCTCTTGCTTTTTTAAATTATGAGAGGATAATACTGTCTTTATGTGAGAATAATACTTACCCATTAGAAATATTGAGAGGCCAGGTACCATGGCATACACTTGTAATCCCAGCTGCTCAAGAGGTCGAGGAGGGAGGATTGGCAAGTTCAAGGCCAGCCTTAGCAACTCAGGGAGGCCTTAAGCAACTTGAGTGAGACCATGTCTAAAAAGCATAAAATGGGCTGAGGATATAGCTTAGTGGTACAGCACCACTGGGTTCAGTCCTTAGTACAGGAAGGAAGGATGGAAGGTTGGGTGAGAGAATTAATGCAATTATCTATGTAAAACACATATTCCAATATCTGGCATAATAGATGCTAATAAACAGAAACTATTGTTAGTAGTAAATACCACTCTAAGGATACATCCTACCATGAAATTGCACTTAACATTTTAATCTCTTGTTCTAGTATAGATTAGATCCATTCCCTATGGGTTCTTTAAATATTTCAATTTCTCTGGGGTGAATTCTTTTAATATTTACCTTCGTTAACTTTAAGAGTAATTTGGCATAGGCTATTGGAAACATAAGTAAATCTCATTTTAATTACATAAACTATAGAGTTTTTTTAAATCAAAATTTAGTATTATATTTTACCAAAAGCTTTTATGGTTAAAAAATTTTTATTACCATAAATTATTTTCTATAAATGAAAGTAAGACTCTGGACTTAATAGAATAAAGAAATGTGGCATTTCTTCAGAATTTATTTTAGAGATATTGTTTTCAGTTAAAGTAATAATTTTATGAACTATTGCCATTATCAGTTGGTTGCCTAAGGTGTTCTGATATTTCTGTTATGCTTCTTTTCCTCCAAGATACCTTTCTCTCGTTATTCATTTTGTTGGCTTTTTTTGGGTTTTTTTTGGTACTAGGGATTCAACCCAGAGGTACTTTACCCCTGAGCCACATTTCCAGCCCTTTTTATTTTTTCATTTTGACACAGGGTCTCGTTCAGTTGCTTAGGCCCTCGCATAGTTGCTGAGGCTGGTCTCAAACTTGCAGTCCTCCTGCCTCAGCCTCCCGATTCACAGGGATTACAGTGGTGTGTCACCATGCCCAGCTCATTCATTTTATTTTGAAAAGCAGGCTTTTCTCATTTTGAAAATGTGACTGAATACTTCCGGTTAACAATGTAGCATTTAGTAGAATTTCATACTTTGTGTGTGTGTGTGTGTGTGTGTGTGTGTGTGTGTGTATAAAATGATTTAAAATTTTTGTTGTAAATTTTGGTTTATTTCCACACATAATAATAATATATTATTATTTCCACAAATAATCTATTATTTTTATCTGCCTGCCATCTTTGTAGCAACAGGGAATTCAGTCTCAGCTGGACAGTTATTATGTGGAGGTTTGTTTTCTACTGATTCACTTTCAAACTGGTGTGCTGCTGTGGCTCTTGCCCATGCTTTACAAGAAAATGCTACTCAGAAAGAACAGCTGCTCAGGGTTCAACTTGCTACGAGTATTGGCAACCCTCCTGTTTCCTTACTGCAACAGTGCACCAACATCCTTTCACAGGTAAAACATTGTAAGTTTGAGCTGTATGTTTTGATGTCAGTGATAAAACAATTTAAGGATGTCCTTGGAAGATGCACATGAAAAAAAAAGTACTTTCCTACTTTTTATTTCATTGTAACCAGAAGCAGTTTTGTGGAGAGGAAGCAATAAATATTTTTATATGACTAGTTTTACCAAATAGATAAGATCTGTTTCATGGTGAAAGCACAGTTTGGGGCAGAAAGGTGGTTTTTGGCTTTTGTTTTCTTTTTGAAGTATTTACAGTGTTCTTAAATGTCATTTTCTCTTTCTGCTCAGTATCTGAATTCAGATCAGTTTATGAGAGAAGAGTAAAGCAGTTCATAGCTATGTTCTGTCCCCTTTCTTTCCTCAAAGCAATTGATCATGCAGAAGTAAAACCCGTTGCATTCATAGTTATTCAGTATACCCCTTCTGTGTTTGTGGGTTCTAAAGATCTTCATGTCCCCAACACGTAATTATCCTAAAAAGATGTAGAAAAACAAACATATTTGCATTCCTTTAGATTCTTAATGAGAATAACAAGCTTTGTTGAAATATGGATGGTAGGACATTTAAAAATATCATTTACTTAATAATTTTTCCACATGTACTAGCCTTGCTTTTCAATAGTTCAAGTTCATGCTTTAGCAGAACTGTAGTCATTAACATTCAGAGTCACTCATGGAAAGTTAAAATGTGAATCAGTCTAAAAGTGCTCTGTCCACTTTCTCTAGTAGTAGAATTAACCTCCCCATTCTCCTGTGTTAATGTGCTGTATTCTTCCTTAGTTTTTCATTTTGCCACACATTGAATTTTTCCTTATTTTGAGCTTTTTGAATTTTATTTATTTATTTGTGTATTAATTTATTTATTGGTAATAGAGATTGAACCACTCTTGCATACTGAGCCCACACTCTGCCACTGAGCTTCACTCCTAGACCATAACCCTTGTTTTGACCTTTTAAAGAAACATGAATGTCATCTACTGAAGTTGGAAGTGAAAGCTTAAAAATTAACTTGTAGAAAAAAAAGTGTCAATGTTTACATTGGTTTACTTCAATGGACTACTTATTACTTATCTCTTAACGATTTAAAAAAAAAAACACCAAAATTTTCATATCTTTACTTAATTAATACTTGACATTTTTATGTTTGTTGAAACAGCTTTCTTAAGCTGAATAGTAATCTGATTGTCATTATCCACAAACATGTTTCCATATTATAATTATAATAAATGTATAATGAGAAATCATAAAGATTTCTCAAATGTCTTCCTCACTCTAAGTAATCACAGTGCTATAAAATCAACCTTTATCCTTTAAACATGTATCATCTTTATACAAGAAAAGATTATAACTGTCCTGTTCCAAATTACTGGCTTGAATTTACAGAGACCAAAAAAGTAGTTGAGGGCTTTTTCTAGATTTATATTTTTCCAAAGTAGTAATATTTATGAGTAATTTTTAATGTATAATTTGCAGGGTGATAAGATCGACAGACGGGTATGTATCATGATTAAGCTTAGGCATTGTCCTCTTACAGCAAGGCTTTTCCTTTGTCTTGGGTTTTGCTGATTGGTTTTTTTAACTGCTTGTTTGAAGTTATATTCTACTCACACTTTTATGTGTCAGCAAGTTTATCTCTGTCACAGGTGGCTTTCCAATTTTCTCCATGGGATATTGTAGTGGTGTACTAAGAACTATGGGAATGAGAATCTAATGCTGTGTCCTGGTGCTTCCTCCGGTGATGCTTGCACTTTCTGGAATTCTCTTGGCTTTGGTTTTTTTGTGTTTTCCCCACAAGCTTGCTTCTTTATTTCCCCTGAAACTGTTTCAAAGGAAGCAAAATTTATGGTTAAGCATTTTGTCTTAATCAGTGTATGTTTGACTTTTCTGTTACTTAGATTATTTAAAATATACAGTAGTAAAATTTTTATAAATTGAATGACTTTAAATTAAATACTATGGATTGTTCTGGACATAATCCATATGCTACAACTACCATTGGGCGTTAGTTTTTGATGTGTTGGGGGAGAGTGTTATTTGTGTTGGTTTGATTTTCTTTTGAGTGGCAAAAAATAAATGTACCTTACTTAATATCCATGTTTAGGCATATTTCAGTTGTACAATGTGGATAGTAATGATGAATGTTAAGAAGTGTATCTTTCTGCATAAGCATGATAACATGTAGTTTTAATAACTCTTTCTGTCTCATTCACTCACATATACACATATTTGGCCCATTTCTTCTACATGCAGTTTTGGTTTTTGTTTGTTTGGTGGTGCTAGTGCTCAAATCCAAGGGCCTCGTGCATGCTAAGCAAGCATTCTACCACAGAGCTATACTCCCAGGCTCAGAATTTTTGATATTAGGAAAATGTTTTATGAGTAAACATGTCAGTCATTTAAAAGGGAATTTGGGGGGAATATTGATTTACACAGTAAAATACACAGACCATACATGTTCAGTCTGATGATTTTTGATATTTGAGTGTACCTTTGTAATTACCAACTATATAAGATGGAAAACATTTTCATAATCCAAGAAAAAAGTTTTAGTATTTCCCTTCCTTACTAATTCTCTCTTCCAAGAGGCTACCACTAGAAAACGAATCTGATCATAATATGCTAGAACCTCATTTTAATTCTTGGAACACTGAAAGTTTAAAATACTAGCTTTTTATATTTTTATAAACAATACAAATATATTACATTCAAAATGTACCTACTAGGGATGAGAAGAATTTTTACTTAGAAAATGTAATGGGAAAAACATAATAGCTTATTAGTTAAAGATTAGATGATTGAGCTTCAAATATTGTATTTGTAGTTTTCTTTCATTCTGTATCGTCATGATTTCTCATGACCAAACTCTCATATTACTCTGAAATTATAGTTTTGCCCTCCAATTGTTTTTCCAGATCTCCTCAGTGGTTCACACACTGGTGGCTCTGAGAAGAGGAGTATAATTTTTTTTTTGTATCTAATATTCTCTGCTCGTTTTATGTTAGATTAATATTTGTCTTTGATTTGATTTACATGTGTTTTTTGCTGGTATATCATTTGTCTTTAGATCTTAATGTTTTTGTTTCAATTTTTTTTCTCAGACTTTTCTTTTATGGCTTCTGCATTTTTAAGTCATATTTAGAAAACCCTTCCCACTTGAAGATTTTAAGAAATTTACCCATATTTTTATTGTAACTTCTGGGTTTTTCTTTTTATTTAATTTTTTGTTCCATTTTTCTCAGCAAATTATGTAAGATATGGATCCACTGGTTTTTTGTTTGTTTGTTTTTTCCTAGATAGCCATCTAGTTGATCCAACTTTTTTAAAATCACTTTGGAGATGGCATCTCACTATGTTGCCCAAGCTGGCCTCAAACTCCAAAGGGTTTAAGCAATCCTCCCACCTCAGCCTCCCATGTAGCTGCGACTACAGGTGCACAGCACTACCCCTGGCTACCTCAACATTTTTAAATTCTATCTGTAACCCACTTAGGGTTATATGGTACTTTTTTAATATACTGACTTCTCTTTTGTGTATGAGCCCATTTCTGGACTTCTCTTTCTTGTCTCTCAGTTATTCTCTGTTCATGATCTATTTATCCCTGCATTATTATTTTGCAATTTTTTCACAGTGTTCCTAATTATTTTCACTTGTTTATTTTTCTACATAATCTTGGGAATCAGATTATTTAGTTCCAGGAAAGAAAAAATCTTCTGGAGCTGGGGGTGTAGCTTTTTGGTAGTGTGCACTTAGCATACACAAGGCCCCCAATTTTTTTGGGGGGAAGGTGATATTTTTGTTTGGAACATTCTTATATATACACAATTCTTCTACATGCATTGTAGATATACTTGATATCTGCAAGTGGTTATCCTAAGTAGTAAACTATTTAAATGTAACCAGGGAGATAAACAAAACATTTAAATTTATAAATTGAGTAGTTGTAAGTTTTCTACAGTATGTAGTTATTAAGAATGACTCAGTTTTTAACTTTCTAGCTTACATGAGTAACATGAAGATGCTTTGTGAGCACAGTAATGACATGAAGGAAAAGGTAAAAATAACACACGGTGTGAAAACTGAACTCATCTTAATGCTTACATGGTAAATCATTTGAAGAAATCCAGTATGAATTTATTCAATTCAATAATAAATATACCTGAAAATAGAAAGACCAAGATATTGACATTAAGGTTCATTAAATTGGAACAGTCTGGGTTGTAGAAAATTTTCAAAACTCAGAGGTTTAGGCTGGGGATATAGCTCAGCCAGTAGAGAGCTTCCCTTTGCATGCACAAAGCCCTGTGTTCAATCCCCAGTATCACAAAATGAAAACAAACAAACAAGAAAACAGTGGTTTATTCCTTGTCTAAATCTTTGGACAATTATATTTTGGATATTTTCTGATAATGCCTCAAAGTAATACATTACTATGCTGATTTTCATTATGTCAAACAAGTTTATTTTTCTTTAAAAAAAAAAGTACAGGTTATAGTAGTACAAATATGGACAGCAGCAATGCTATGAACCAAGAATATTTCACATAGGAGTTGTAAATATGTTATATAGAAATTTAGAAAATTATAATTTGCTGGACATACTAATTTTCAATATTGTTTAACTATACTTGGAAGTAGTGCAGTTAGTGCTTCAGGGCACTTAGCTAAAACCCTTTCCCTCTTGATGATGTTTGTGATTTCTCATTATCGTGGCATGCTGTCACTGAGTTTTGTAGCATTTTTTTTTTCTTGTTTGAGAATATATTCTCTCATAGACTTTGACTAAATGGTCAGTAGATTATTTATTTTTCCCTTAATGTTTTTTTAAAAAGGTAGAGTTTTTCTTTTTATCAAGAACTTGTTTTTTAAATTCTAATTGAAATACCATAAATTTGCATACTTGTCTTGGGATTAGTAGATCTTTTTAAAGCCTCTAGTATCATAATTTTTTTTTCTTATAAACCTACTTTTTCTACTAAGAGTATTTTAAATAGCCCAGTATATGCTCATGAACATGAACCAATTCTGATTGTACATTCTAGTGGACATAAGAATGCATTCTTTTATTCAACTTTTAAAATCTGACTTCCCATCACACCTTTTGTATGATGTTAAAATTATTTTTATTCAAATAGACTTTAAGCTTGAAAAAAAATTTTAAAATGGAAAGCTATTTTAACCAATTTATCTATTGCAGGGAAGTAAAATACAGACAAGAGTTGGATTATTAATGTTGCTTTGTACCTGGTTAAGCAACTGTCCCATCGCAGTCACACATTTTCTTCACAATTCAGCCAATGTTCCATTTGTATCCTTTATGTTTTAGTGACATGCATGTAAGTACTTACCTTACATAGTTTTAATTTCTTCTTCTCAATTAGAAATAGCTCTGTTTCCGGGCTGGGGATATAGCTCAGTTGGTTGAGTGCTTCCGTTGCATATGCAAGGCCCTGGGTTTAATCCCCAGCACAAAAAAGAAAGAGAAAGAAATAGCTCTTTTTCCAAATTGTTTGAATTCTCAACAATATTCATATGTTTAAATTATTACAGTTGTAATGATACTGGTTTAAGCTATGTGTCTTTGTGAATACCATTGTTGTTGTTTTTTTTTTTTTTATGCTGGCTTGGATTATATACAGAGTTCCTTGTAAGAAATCTTACATGAAATGTATGTTAAATTCAAATTGCAAACAAACATATTCTAGATACTATGAATCATTAACCTCCTTAACAAAGATTTCAGCTTACTGGACAAATTGCAGAAAATCTTGGAGAAGAGGAGCAGTTGGTTCAAGGGTTATGTGCCCTTCTGTTGGGTATTTCAATTTACTTCAATGACAACTCACTTGAGAGCTATATGAAGTAAGTAAGGGCAGAATGACTCTCTAATGGCATCTGGAGATGATGATACATTTTTTTTTCTGCTGAAGTATAATTACATCAAGCTTTTGTAATCAAGATTTTTTTTTAACATCTCAATATTTATCTCTGTAGAGAGAAACTAAAACAATTAATAGAGAAGAGGATTGGTAAAGAGAATTTCATAGAGAAACTAGGCTTTATTAGCAAACATGAGTTATACTCCAGAGCATCACAGAAACCCCAACCGAACTTCCCCAGTCCAGAATACATGATATTTGATCATGAGTTTACAAAGCTGGTGAAAGAACTTGAAGGTAAGATGAGAAAATTTATACTAATATTTATTAAAAAGTAATTATGTTTGCATATTCTGGATACATGCAAATTTTGTAAGTCTACAAGTAGGATTTTTTATTTTTCCCTAGTGCTCGATCTAAAGCCTATTTAAAGACTTGGATTTCTCCTATGATTGCAAAGTTTTTTTCTCTTGTGGAGCTAGGCCATCTGTTTCTGCTGATTAAGTCTTAATAAAATAGTATTTAAAATGTTTAAAACAGTTGGGCACAGTGGCATATGCCTCTAACCCCAGCAACTTGAGAGACAAGAAGATCACAAGCTAGCCTCAACAGTTTAGCAAGGCCCTAAGCAACTTAGTGAGATCCTGTCTCAAAATAAAAAAATACAAAGGGCTTGGAATGTGGCTCAGTAGTAAAATGTCCCAGGGTTCAATCCCCAGTACCAAAATAAAGAAATAAAATGTTTAAAATCGCTGGGAGTGTGGCTCAGTGGCAAGGAGTGTTTAGCAAGTGTAAGATCATAGGTTTCATTCCTAGCACCATAAAAATAAACAAAAAAAGTTTAAAACAAATTTTAAGTAAGCTTTCTTTTATAGGTGTTATTACTAAAGCTATTTATAAGTCAAGTGAAGAAGATAAGAAAGAAGAGGAGGTAAAGAAAACTTTAGAACAGCATGACAGTATTGTGACTCACTACAAAAATATGATTCGTGAGCAAGTAAGTACTAAGGAATTGTATTCTCATTACTTATTATTCTCTTATATCTTATTATTATTAGGTACTTTCTACTTTAGGGGGAAGAATTTACGGGGATTTCAAATGAAAGAGAAGTTAGAAAGTAAAATTCATTATTTTTAAAAGCATCTGAGTATTCAGTAAATTCAGCACCTGATATGTGCTAAACATTGGGCAGGATATTGTGGGTAAAAACATGATTCAGCATATTCCCACACTAATCCCAGGAGGAGACAAATCTATAAGTAAATAATTGTAGTGAACATATTATAGCATATGAAGTCCAGTAATAGAGATGATCAAAGGTATGGCAGCACTGAGAGGTATCTGACTTAGCTAGGTAGGAGCAGAAGCCTATCGAATCAGAAGCTGAGTCCTAGAGGGATGCTTAATAATAAGCCATGGGAAAAGAGAGATAAAGAAGAGAGGTGAGGATGACAATGTAAGTTTAACTGCAGTGCCCTTGGTGTGCACATAGAACACTCTACTAGCTGTGTAAAGAAGAAATTTTGAGAGGTAAGGATAGATAGAAGGAGGGAGCCCAAGAAGCAAGTTATTGTGGTAGATTAGGTAGAGTAGGAAATAGAGTACTGGTGGTAACTATTATGGTGCCAGTGACTACCCTTTTTTGTTTACTGTGTTCTATGAGCTCATTCAGCGTGTTTTAAACACTGTTGAATTTGGCCAGAAGCTGTGGCACATGCCTATAATCCTAGTAGCCGAGAGGCTGAGGTAGGAAGATCGCAAGTTCAAATCTAGCCTCAGCAACTTAGCAAGACCCTGTCTCAAAAAATAAAAATGGAGGGGATGTGGCTCAGTGATTAAGTGCCCCTGGGTTCTATCCTTGGTACAAAAAAAAAAAAAAAACTGTTTAATTAAATTTGCACAACACCCCTAGGAAGTAGTTTTTATCTCTAGGATAAATGAGACAGGGAATTTCAGTGTGCCCTAGGTATCTTAGTTACTGGTTGAACAGAATTCAAATATATGTATGTTAGTGAAACATACTATGTGGTATGAAGAGAATAGACTTGAGAAATGTGGAAGCTAAAGAACAAAAATTAAGCAGGATGTGGTAAAATTTGGAGGCAGATGTAAAGATGCCAAGAGGGTCAAATGTGATCCTTAAATTTTTATCTTGGACAACTGAATAGATGATACAGAGTGAGTTAGTATAAGAGAAGAAACTGATGTATTTGGGTAATGATGAATTAAGTTGAAACTACATTTTCAGAATCATCAGATGACATTTTCAAGATACTAATAAACTTCTACTTCTTAGATTATATTGAGCACTTTAAACCTTTTCCTTTATAATGTGTTTCTTGATTTTTATTTTTATTTAATTTCTTATCATGGAATATACCTTGACAGGAATTCTAGAAAGTATTTCAGTATTATCTCAAAAATAAGATTATTTAAATTGTTAAGTTTCAGTATCATCAAAAATGCACGTATGACAGTACATGTAGGGCAAGTTCATCTCCTTCCCTGCATGTTATTTTCTTCCCCACCACCTATGTTGAGATTGAAATTTGAAGAAAGAATGAAAATATTGTGGTATCTTTAGCATTCAGTCTCAGCTTTTCAATTTATAAGCAAATCAATAAACTAGAATCATCTTGATCAAAATTTGAATCATCAGCTACCCATGGTTATTAGGATTTTTCATCTATGTCTTGGTAGAAATGTGGAGTCATGTGGTGAGGTTGTAGTTCAGTGGTAGAGGGCTTGCCTAGCATGTGTGCGAAACTGGATTTGATTCTCAGCACCACATATGAATAAATAAATAAAATAAAGGTCTCTCAACAACTAAAAAAAATTAAAAAAAGAAATGTGGAGTCATTTCTAGGCAATAAATTTAATATTTTTGGAGTGATAAATAAATAAATACTTGGAATGGGATATGTAGCCTTTTTGGGACCAAAAAGTACAATTGATTTGGAAGAAGAAAAGAGTGATTTGACCCATTTACTATCATGACTCATCTTTAAAAATGTTAATTTTATATATTCTCACCACTTAAACTAAGATTTATTTTGATGATATTTATCATTTTGAAAAATGGAAAGCAACATCAGTATAAAAAACACTCAACATAATTTATATTGCATCTACTTGATCAGATATTAAGTGAGCACTAAAAATCATGATTGGACCTGGTGCTGTGGCACACACCTACAATCCCTGTGGCTCAGGAGGCCGAGGCAGGAGGATTAAAAGTTCAAAGCAGCCTCAGCAATTTAGTGAGGTGCTAGGTAACTCAGTGAGACCCTGTCTCTAAATAAAATATAAAAAGGGACAGGGTTGTGGCTCAGTGTTTAAGCACCCCAGGGTTCAATCTTCCACTCGCCCGCAAAAAGAAATCATGATTGGGAAAGTATTAGCAGTGTGATCAGATAGTACATTTAAATATTAAATGTTACAGCCAGGCATCATGGCACACATCTGTAATCCCAGCAGTTCAGGAGGTTGAAGCAGGAAGATCACAAGTTCAAGGCTAGCGACAGTAGCTTAGCAAGACCATGTCTTAAAATAAAAACTAAAAGGGGCTGAGGTTGTATTTCAGTAGTAAAGTACCCCTGGGTTTAATCCCCAGTGCAAAAAAAAAAAAAAAAAGAAGAAGAAGAAAATAAAAAATAAATAAATAAATGTTAATAAAATTACATATGGACTGATTCTGACAAGTTTAAAAAAATGGATTGGAAGAAAATAAATACATCCAATTCCAACTATAGTTGTATTAGTGTGGTAAGAGTTGGAAGCTTTTTTAATCTTCTAACTGTTTTGTTCTATGATTATCTTTTAGTATTAAAAAATAATATTGATGTGTATATATATATATATATATATATATATATCTTCATATACTAAGTTTCTTAAATATTTAGGTACAAAGTTTCTTAAATGTTTTGATGGACCTTAAAGTGGAGTTTATTTGCCATGATTTTCCCCCATAATTGCAGTGAGATTATAAACTGGGCTATATATTTATTAATTGGACTCTGCTTGAAATCTTATAGTTCTGCTGCATGTTAATTGGCTTTGGCTAATTTATTAATGTATTACTGTTTAATTACTGAATGATTTTGGAAGTATTTGGAATACTTTATCATACCGACCCCAAATGACCTCTGTATTTTAAATTGTTCATCTACTTAAGGCTACAAATTCTGTTGGAATTGTTTTGTTTTACAGGATCTACAACTTGAGGAATTAAAGCAGCAGATTTCTACATTAAAATGTCAAAATGAACAGCTCCAAACAGCAGTCACACAGCAAGCATCTCAGATTCAGCAGCAGAAGGATCAGTATAATCTTCTTAAAGTACAGCTAGGTAAGTATAACTACACATCAGCATCATTGTGTCCAGGTCATTATCTCCTCAAGAGCTTGACAAATCAAACAGATTTTTTCTCTAGATTAGTCTTTCTTTAACCTTAATCATTATGACAAAAAATGTGAATCAGATTTTAAAGCAAAATGTTTTGGTAACTAAGTGTAGTTAAGACTAGATCTTTAAAATTTGAAGTCTAGGCCCCTTGATACCTATTTGATTATCTGACCCATTGGCTGTCAACCACAATTGCATGTTAGAATCTTGAGATACTTTTAAAAACATACAAATGCTGAAACCCCACTGGAGTTTCTGATTTGATTAGTCTAGGTTTGGATCTGGGCATCAATAATTATTCTAGGCTCCCTTGGTGATTTTAATATATAGCCAGTTGAGAATAACTAATCTAATCTTTCAACTTCCTCATCTGCAAAATGGAAATAGTAAAATTTGTGTCATCTGAGAATTAAATGAAATTTTATGTATGTGTTTGTGCGCTTGTATGTATGTTTGTATGTATGTAGTTCTAGTTCAGTCTCTAGCAAATAGTCAGAGTCATCTGTTTGTAAATAATATTATCCTATAATACTTGTAATTGGAATGCTGATTACTTAGAAATATGAAGTTTGTTTTATGTATATGAGGGTGACTAAATATTTCAGGAAAAAAATTTCTTCCTGTATTTTTGACAATGTGTCAGGTATTGTAGCCCATATATAAAGTTATTCCTATGGGAAGAATTTTTAAAGGGACTTTATTTTACATTCATTGGCAGAATTGAAATTGAAACTACTCTAATTCTTTTTTTTTATTATTATTATTTATTCTAATTTGTTATTTACGACAGCAGAATGTATTAGAAACTAATTCTTAATCATAGATCACCAAATCATACAATTTAGGCAAAACTATGTATTTTTCCTGCTAGAAACCCTGGAAATATCATTAGTTCTCTATTTTTATCAATAAAAAATGAGATGCAAAGATGAGATGTGATTGCAAAATTACTGCCAAATTGAGATAAAGAAGTTATAGTTAAATCTCATATTAATCTATTTTCAGTCTTCTGGTTCAAAAATGAAAAACTTTCATTTTATGCTAGCTTTTTAAATTGTATGCCGTTTAATAGGAAAAGACAATCAGCATCAAGGTCCTTACAATAATGGGGCTCAGATGAATGGTATTCAGCCAGAAGAAATTAGTAGATTACGAGAAGAGATAGAAGAGTTAAAAAGTAATCGAGAACTTTTACAAACCCAACTTGCTGAAAAAGACTCTTTGATTGAAAATTTGGTAAGTAAAAATATAAATAAATAAGAAGTTGAGAATAATTCTCATTCTCTTGATTATTCATTTTGTTATGTTTGTAGAGTACTGGCCTATACATGGTAAGTGGGCACTCAGCCACTGAGCTACATCCTGAGCACTGTTTATTTTGCTGGAACCCTTATGCCAAAGTATCATACATTAAAATTTTAGAATATGAACTTTGAAGTTAGACTGTCTAAGCTTCAGTGCTTCCTAAGTAATTGAATTTAAGCAGCGAAGTAAACCTCTTTAAACTTGTTTTCTAATTTATAAATTGTTGGAGGTAATGTCTGTCTCATTGTTGTGAAATTTAAATGAGATAACTCTTTTATTTATTTTTTTAATATAGTTTTTAGTTGTAGATAGACCCAATATCTTTATTTTTATTTATTTATTTTTATGTGGTGCTGAGGATCGAACCCATGGCCTCATGCATACAAGGCACGCACTCTACCACTGAGCTACAACCCCAGCCCAAAATAACTCTTTTAATACATAAACTTATTAGCTATGAAGAAGTCATAATATGGGTTGAAATTTTATCTTGCATAAAAAAATTAACATTGACGTGAAAGTTTTGGGTAAGCATTTGTAAGGTAGAGCTTATGTGTGTACAGTTCTGCTTTTGTTTTTTTTCCTTTCTCATTAAATTGTTTTTATTTCATAGTTCATTTCTGTTTTCCTTGTAGAAATCTTCCCAAACTGCTTCTGATATGAATGAACAGTCTTCAACTAAAGATTCTGAACAAATTGCAGAATTAAAACAGGTAATTTTCCTGTCCAGAAAGTTGGAACTGGAAAAGAGTAAACTAGCATATATCTCAGATGACTCCAGCTGAAAAACAAAATAACTTTTTTCATGGTAATAACTAAATAATGTAGTAATTGGAAGAAAAACTTAGAAAATTATCAGGCTCATTAGTATATCACCACTAAACAGATTTTGTTTGGGGGTTTTTGTTTTGAAGTTACCTTTTCTCTCATTTCTTCATTCCATCATTTCCCTCTTATTATTAAAAGGAATTTTCTTTAAAAAATTCAAACAATACTAATATTACAACCCAGGACTGACTTCCTCCTCTGTCAGCTGACCTTAGTGCACTGGTCTGAGAGAGGAGTAACTGTCCATAGATTGTGACTTATTTTTATAATGTCTGCGTACTTCAGAGTAGATTCTAAAATCAGGTCTTTTTTATTTTTCAAATCACCTTCACGAAGGATTTTCAGATCTCCAGTATGTCCATAATGTTTTGCTTGTGTGGGGAAGATTAATAATGCTATTTGGGTTTTAGAAAGTCTGCCTATTATAGAACTATCTCAAAATGTAAAGAAATTAAGTATACATATTACATATTAAGGTTACATATTACATATAACTTTATATTACATATAAGGTTACATATTAACCTTAATTTGTAAATCCCAAGTAAAAACTTTATTATTTAATTATGTGACCCAGTAAAACTTTGATGTGATATTTTCACAGAAGAAAATTATCTTTTAGTTTTGTATTTTTTCCAATTTTCTTTTATAAACTTTAGATTGTTAAAAATACACATTTTTTAAAATGATGGTTTTGTTAACTAGTAACATAGGCTTTTGTTAATTGTAATATATATCATTAAATACTGTGTAAAAAGAAAACAAAAATGATCTGTAATGTTACTATCCATATAACTCATTTTGAGGACTAAAAAACCAGGAGAATTAAAGAAAAACCACATATACACCTAACAGAAATTTTAAAGAAAACAAGAATTTTTTATATGCCTGCATTCTGCTGCCTACTCAATGGTGACAAAACATTATAAATGTCCCAGGTGGGGGACATTTCCTTATAACTCCTGGTTAAAAAACCACCATTTTAATTGCTTTTCTTTTATTGTATTTTTGTGGGATAAGGAAGGAAAGGATAAGAACATTGGGAAGTTCATTATTATAAGCTTTCAGTTAACACATTTTCACCATAGTATTATTTCATCTGTGTTTGAACAGTGAACCTCCAGTTTGAGAGGGTAGGGTCAAGAAAGGAAAACATTTTTTTTAGATTTATTTCTGTAAACATACATTTCCTTGATGAAATTAATACTGCTTAATGGTATGATTCAACTTCTTTTGTCTCTTAGGAACTGGCAACTTTAAAGTCTCAATTAAACTCACAATCTGTAGAGATCACCAGACTACACACAGAAAAGCATGAGCTGTTACAGAAAATGGAAGCATTTGTACGTGAATTTTTTTTTCTTTTCCTCTGAAAGGTAGTAAACACAGGGTGATATATTATTTCTCAGCCTCAATGAAAAAGAAGCAGATTCATCAGATTGCACCTTTTCTTTAGATCACTCATTAGCCAGAGTTCTAGTAACATAGGCTTCCTGACCAGAGAGGCAGTCATTTTGTAGACAAGATTCTCCAAGTTTTTAGTGAATGGTTTATTTTGCTAGTATTACATCCTATCTCTGCCTGCTCCAGTCAAAATGGCAGCTTTTCTACAGGTATAAAATGATCAGAAACCTTGTTGGCTTCGCCTGCAGTTCATAGGACTTCAAGCCATTAGATAAGAGGGTCCTCCACAGATGTTTTTTGGATAACTTCATCTCTCTTTCTGGCATTTGCTGAGCTGGTTGATTGGTTCCATTAATCACACATGTAATCCCTAAAAGTTCTCCAAACCTTTGATGTTTCCAAAATATGCCTTCTTATGTTTTGCAATATAGATAGGCAGAATTTTCCAAATCTTCAAGTTCCGGCTCTTTTTTGTCTAGCCATTCCTTTGTCAATTTGTCTCTCATTTACATTTTACTCTTGGCAGCAAGTTGAAATGAGGCTTTATCTCAGCTAAATATCCAAGTTTCTAACCTTAAAGTTCAATATTTTTACAAAACACTAGGACACAATTCAGCACAAGTTCTTTTCCACTTTATAACAAGAACTGCCTTTTCTCTGATTCACAGTGACATGTTTCTCATTTTCACATGTTTCTCATTTTCATCTGAGACCTCACCAGAAGTACCTTTAATGTTCATATTTCTTTCAACATTCTCTTCAGGATAGCACATGTGTATCTCTGAAGACCATAAAAGCTTTCTTTATAGCTTTTCTTTCTGAGCCCTCACCAGAATCCTTTTATGTCCATATTTATACCAACAGTCACTTTGAGGTAATTCAGGCTTTAACTAATATGCACCACAAAACCCTTTGAGCTTCTTACTCATTATCTAGTTCCAAAGCCATTTCCACGTTTTTAGATATTTGTTGCATTAGCACTTCACTTCCTGGTATTTTATGGGAATAGAATTTAAGACTTCGATTTAATAGCATCTACTATAGTACTTAAGAAAATGCTTGCATTTTGCCAATTAATGTCCTTTGGCTCAATTTATCATCTACCTATTTGTCTTATCTGAAACGACAGCGTAGACTCATGGTACAGGAAGTTTATGAGGGAAAAGCTTTGAAAAAATAATTTCTGTTTATTATATATTGTGTTATAGCTTCATTGGAGCTGCCTCATTAATTACGTTTTCTAGGCTGACCTTGAGGAAGCTTATTAGCCCAGCCTTCCTCATACTCTGATAAGATCTAATGCTGCTCCAGATGGGGACGGCTCATCTGTGGAGAGTACTTTGTTGCACAAAAATATATGAAGAGTTATATTTTCTGTAGTTGGAAATAAAATTTCAAAACAACAAGATTAAATTACCACTTTGAGAGTTCATATTGTTTATAACTTCCAAAAAACAGTTTTGTTTTTTTTTTCCAATTTCTACTTTCAGACAAAATCCATTCCTGTACAAGGAGAAAATGAGTCTATAATAGCTTCTAAAACTACTGATGTAGAGGGAAGACTATCAGCATTACTACAAGAAACTAAAGAATTGAAGGTTGGTTTTTGGTAAAACTTATTTATTATGTTTAGTATGATATAAACACTAGAACATTTGATTTTATTTAACTTAATCTCAGATCCTTAGGTTTATGAAGAAAGCTGATGGGATGTAATTTTATCATAACATTACCATTCATATTTTGATGACTTAAGATGTCATAAAGATTTTTTAATGCTGTTTCAAATGATGGTATTGAATACTTGAAATAGGAGTTTATGTACATGTACTACAAAAGTAAAATTCATTGAAAATATTTAAGTTTCTTGTCAATATCAATATCTAATCACAATAACAAAGTAAGGAATACAAACTTGGCTAATACACAAGCCAAATTAAGGCTGAAGAACACAGGAACATTAAATTCTGATACTCTGTTATAGAGACTTCAGAATAAATAAATGCAGAAAGGAATAAGGTGACTGATAAAAGGCATGAAGGGAAAAATACAAAAAGAAAAATAAAGTATAATTATGCTTTTTGGATTGTGATCATATTGTTTTATTTTTAAAGCATGGATTTTATTTTAAACTATTAATTATTCTTTCTCATTTAATTCTATGATGTAAACTTTTTTGGGTACTGGGGATTTAACTAAGGGGCACTCGACCACTGAGCCACATCCCCAGCCCTATTTTGTATTTTATTTAGAAACAGGGTCTCGCTGTTTGAATTCCCCATCCTCCTGCATCAGTCTTCTAAGCCACTGGGATTATAGGCGTGCACCGCACCTGGCAACTTTTTTTTTTTTTAAACTTGAGTTTTTGGTTCTAATTCTGATGGTAACCAGACTTCTGCTGTGAAATATTTTGTTTCTTTGTTTATTCCTCTGATTATCTAACATGGTATTGCTTTTTTTATTAGGATTTTTTGAGGAATAGCTAACTACATTTTCAATATTAATCTATTTTTCACAGTAACCATCTTCAATGGATAGTCTAAAAATTCTCATGTTACTGGATGTATATGTTTTAAGCCTCATGTATCTTCAACTCCCACCCCTAAATGCCTCAGATTGGACAAGCGTAGTGATTTGTCATAGGAAGAAACTATTTGTTAAAAATCTAGCACAGCAAATACTAACTTCAGATTATTGACTTTCACCTTTTTCTAGAATGAAGTTAAAGCTCTGTCTGAGGAAAGAACTGCCATTAAAGAGCAGCTGGATTCATCAAACAGCACTATTGCTATTTTACAAAATGAGAAAGACAAACTACAGTTGGAAGTTACAGATTCTAAAAAAGAACAAGATGATCTCTTGGTGCTGTTGGCCGATCAAGATCAGAAAATATTGTCATTGAAGAATAAACTCAAGGATCTTGGTCATCCAGTAAGATAGAAATGTTTCCAGAAATGATTTGTATTATATTTCTTTGTGAACATTTAAAAAATTTTTAGCACAGCATGGAAAAATTGTTCCTTTATTATAGGTATTGTTATGTGGATTTATGAATAAGTTATTATCTACATTTCTTTCACTATTCAGTGAGAGTTGGATTAAGACACAGATTAAATTTATTTTTCAGCACTTTAGACTATTTTCTTTTGGACCATGACCTAAAAAGTGAATTGATTTGATAACAAGACTCTGAGCACCCAAGTGGACCATCATCTTTGTCATGTTTGGTTCAGATTTGCATGTGGAGATGTAATTTATTAGTAAAGTTAACTGATATATCTCATTTGTGTTAAAAATAACAGGGAACATTGAGCATTAAATCAAGGACATCAGATGGTGTATATTCTACTATAATTACTAAAACAGAATACATGTATACATTTATCATGTATATTATATCTGAGTTTGAACAGATTTCCATAGTATTAAATTTATATTTTCCCTCTAGATTGAAGAAGAGGATGAACTTGAATCTGGAGATCAAGATGATGAGGATGATGAAAATGAAGATGGTATCAAGGACCAGGATCATATCTAACTCTAAAATCTCTAGGAATAATAGACATTATATTGTAATTTTGAAGATGGAATCTTAAGAGTGTTTTGGTTTGCCTCCACAGGAAATAAAGATTTAGAAACCAAGTGGAAAACATTCACTAATAAGACTATTGATGTATTTTTTAATTTTGCCACCCATGTTGAAAACCCTAAAACTCTCTACAGAACACCCATTTTATTTAAATTCATCTAATCTGTCCCAAAATATAATTTGTGAAGACAAATGCTCGCGCGCACACAAAACCATTTGAAGGCATGTGGTGGCAGTGCTATTGGCCTTATTAGTTCATTGGTTGTTTACTTTTCAGAATTTGTGGCTTTTAAATACTAACACATTTGATTTTTATATATTGGGTTGGAATCATTTCTAAATTCAGCATTTGAACTCTTAGCTAATGATTTCCTTTTATAGAAAGGAAATTTACTTAAAGGCAAGATAGTCTGGGCACATGTTATCAGCCCTTGGTGGCATGTGACTCCCAAGATGAGCAGGAGAGGGCAATTGAGAATGAGTGCTTTGACACCTGATGTGGCTGTATTTTGTACCTCTGAAGAAAGAAGGATACTGACACAGTGATGTGGAGGGAGGTTCTGATAAACTTTTGCAGCAGTGTATTAATACAGTTGGTTTTCTTTTTATTTTAAGCTAAATATGGAAAATAAATTACAAGTTAATAGCTCATACAATTCAATTTAGTATTGTTTGGTTATTATAAATGATACGTTCCTAGTTTTAAAAAGACCCAAACTATGATTTATATAATTTATTGGCATTTTTGCTGATTAGGTTTAAGTCAGATAATAGATTTTTAAAAAGCAGATGAAGCAATTTGTCAAAATTTAATGTTTTCGTAATAAAAATAGATATTATGTTCACTTAATCCATGGTCATGGTTCCTTATTTTTTAAACTTTGAGAAAACTGTTTTATTCTTTTGTTGTTGTTCTTTTTAGATATACATGACAATAGAGTGTATTTTGACATATTATACCTACATAGAGTATAACTTATCCTAATTAGGATCCCATTCTTGTGGTTATAAATGATGTAGAGTTTCACTGGTCATGTATTCATATATGAACATAAGAAAGTTATGTCTGATTCATTCTGTCTTCCTATTCCCATCGCCTGTTTTATTCTTAATAAAGGGTGAGCTCAATGTAAATGGAAAGACTTATTACTAGTTGTACATTACTATGACTGAACATTAAAAGCAATCTTATTTCAAACTAACAATTAGGATTCCATAAGATGGGAAGAAACTAGTTGTAGAAACTACAGGAGTGGGGGAAGAAATTTGAGAAGGGTTTGTCTGCTTCTACATTCAGCATTAGAATTCTTAGTAATGATTCTCTTTTAAAGAAATGGATTCAAGGCAAAATAGCTTGGGCTGCTGGGTGCTTTATCATCTGCCTTCTGGGTTTGGGAATAGTTTGAGCAGTTCACTATGGGGCACAAACTTTTGAAAGAGAAGTATTCTTCACCTGTCTCAAAAAAGATGACTGTGTTACAAAGAGCCAGTGAATGCTTCACTGTGCCCCACCACCACCAAAGACCTTCAGAAAGAAACATCTACAAAATCAGTGCTGGTGGTATGTGCAACTTAGCCCTCAGATTGTCCTGGAGTGGAAAGAGGAAGTCTCAGCTGCACAGTTCATCCTGGAACCACAAGGAGCATCTTCTTTACCCCATGGCCCCAGCCATGATTTTTTTGCCTGGATAGAATCCGCTACTGCATCTGCATTGAGGATTTTCTTCCCACAGGCTTCTCAGCCAATAAATGATGAAGCAGAAATGCTAAGCCAGGCATATTCCTCGGGGACAAAGAACTGTCCTGTCATTCTCTGTCCAGCCTCCTGGAACCTCACTTTGCATACAGAGTTTATAGTTTACTCAAAGACTCATGGTGACTTGTGGGTTTCTGGAAGTGTTCTCTACTTTGCACCTGTCACTACAGTACAGAAACCCACAAATTCAGCAGTCTCAGCTTCCCCAAACTAATTCACTAACAACAAATTGCCATGTTTGTGTGGGTTTTCTTTCTTTGCTGTCCAGTCTTAAAGTACCTCTGGTCAGAAAATGGGAAGATGAAAGATTGATTTCATTTGTTTTCACTCTAGGGAATTGCAGTCTTATACTGCCAATCACT